CAAAAAATATATCAATTATTAAACAGACTTCTAAAAATGTATTGTTGGTCTCTGTTTCTTTTTATTTAAATTATTTTCTCAGAAGCAAGTTATTTTTAAACCTAGTACAGACTTTATTTCTTCTCAGCAAATACTGGCACAATACTTGGTAATGATTAAAAATGACAAGAACTTAGTACTGTTAAGAAATAACTGGGAACCTTCTGAAAGTTCTTCCATTTAGAAAATCAGTCTTCTGCTGTCTGTTTTTCAACCTGTGAAGTCCTAAGCTTTTGAGGTGGGGAAAAGTAAACTCAGGAACTACAGTACACTAGAATATCTTAACAAGTGAGTATTAGTAGGTTTTAAATATTTTGATACAAAACATTTCAGACTAAAATGTAGTCACATTTTCTCATCTCATTATTTGAGATGGTTTTACTTTTTCCAAATATGCTGGGAAAATCTGTGCTTTTTCTATGTGTATGTAATTTCCCTGAAATATGAGTTCCAGAATTTTGGGGTCTAATCAATTAAATCATATTCATTAATAACAGGAACAGCACAATCAAAACCTGAGAGTATTTTCATGTGATGATGTTTCATAGAGGAACACATTTGAACTTCCTGAGTGGACTACACTCTATAACAGAATAAAATATCACTAAAGCTATAAATTATACCAGGGCATTAGCCTTTTTAATGGAACTAAATGGCAATGTAAAATGTCCTTTTGTCTTTCTCAGATGTCAAACCACTTTAAAGCAGTATAGGTCAACCTCAGAAAAATCAGATCTTTTTACTCAATGCACTTGAATACTGGAATTATATTCAAAATACTCAACACGTTTTGTGCCAAGAAAATGACTCCACAGTATGACCATCTGCAAAGCAGAAAATACTCTTGGGCAGATTTGGAACTCAGCATGTGGTCCTTACTGCAGACAGCACAGTAACTAATTTTACAAGACATCGGCATAACTCTGCACTGATTTATCTGAGCCTAGCTAATGGAGCAGGATGTGGCTTAGAAAGGTGTAATGTGTGTCTATGTCAAATAATTTTCTTATTAGAAAGGAAGCAAATGTAATCACATCCAACTTTTCCAAACTGTGCAATATTTAGCCATGCAGATATATATATAACTTTTGTTTTTGCCTTCCTTAGGCAAGTGTTTCCATGCACATGTCAGGTGATGGCATGCTCAGCCTAGCAGCAATACCTGGGCCTGGGCTTGATTTGTACATCAGGTGTTTGTGCTGCTGAGGCATTTTCAAATTTGATTTGCTAAAAAAAAAAGGTTATGTCTACCCTGTCCTTCCTAGCAGTGCAAGCTGAAAAGAAGTCTTTAGGCCATACTTGCCACATCACTAGGCTGTCTGGCTATCTGACTGGGGAACTGTCACAGGATCATAGAATGGTTTGGGTTGGAAGGGACCATAAAGACCATTCAGTTCCAATCCCCTGCCATGGGCAGAGATACCTGTCACTGTACCAGATTGCTCACAGCCCCATGCAACCTGGCCATGAGCACTTCCAGGGCTGGGGCATGCACAGTTTCTGTCACAAACCTATTCCAGTGCCTCACATCCCTCACAGTGGAGATTTTCTTCCTAATATCTTGTCTAAACCTACCGTTTCAGTTTGAAGCCATTTCCCCCCATCTAATCACTAAATGCTCTTGTAAAAATCTCTCTTCACCTTTCTTGTAGGTTCCATTAAGCTGCTGGAAGACCATATTAATTCAGTCTAAAGTCTTCACTTCTCAAGGCTGAACAATCCCAATTCTCTCAGCCTCTCCTCATAGGAAAGGTGCTTCATCCCTCTAAGCATCTTGGTGGCCCTTGGATAAAATGCATATTCAGTGCAGTGACAGATGTTTAGTTGTCCTTATTCTTCCTATTTTCTTAAAATACTGCTTTTAGACTCCTTAACTCCCACGCAGGGAGTGTGCCTTCTGTTGCAGGCATGCAAAGAGTTGCTGCCAGGACACTCTGACCTTGGTTACACAGAATTGCTCTATGAATGTTTTCTGAAGTTCCCACCATTTTCACTAAAAGCATTGTTAACGTGAACCCTGCAGTTGCTTGAATACATTTGGTATTCACAGAGGTTCAAAACCTAGTCTTCCCACAGTATTTGGGAACACTGAGTTATGTAAAACCAAGATATTTTACCAAAAGGAAGGCAGCTGGAAATTGTATAGTACTTTCTTATGGAGTGAGAGGACATGTAGCCTAGTTGGTTTTTTGTTTGTTTGTTCGTATGTTTGTGTAGTAGCGGGGGGGGAGGGGGGGGTTTGGTTTTGGTTTTGGTTTTGGTTTTGTTTGTTAGGTTTTTCTTTTTTTTAAGTCTTCTGTGCTCCACCAAGATGAGGCATGCAAGGAGTAGTCAAGGCTGCCTTGTGAAACCTTGCCCTGGGCTTCAGACATTTCACCTAGTTATTTCCTCTCCTATCTCAAGTGCCAGTTTTGATCAACTTGAGGTTGATCCTTGGTCCTTGAATCAGATTCATCTATTGAGTAACACATTTTAATGTCTAGTTATCAGGTGCTGGCAGATAGGAGAGGTAGTAGCAAAACTGCTACAAGATCCAACTCTGCCCTAGAAATATAACAAGATCGCACACATTTTTATTGAGTGCAGTGACCTGAAAATCCCCTTGTCTTTCTGTAAATTCCATGCTGCCCCTAGGGAGAGAAGATGACAGGGGCAAATAGGAAGAGAAATGAAATTTTAGACTAATTTATCCCTCAAGCACATATCTCAGAAATGCAAGTCCCTTCTGTGAGAGGCAAAACCTATGAGATATCTCAATGTACCTGTTGAGCCACTGGAAGAGACAAAGAGGTGACAAGTGTTGATGATGTCTCTGTGAGAGCAACTTGCAGTCAAAATGCCTGGGAAACTAAGACACACCTGGTGAAGCAAGAGGCATGGGTCTGAAAGAGTGAAGTGGGCTGGAGACTGCCACTGGCTTGAACTTCCCATTCTACTACCTCCAAAGGATTTACTTCAGCAGAAGAAAGAGTTGGGAAACCACAAGTTTTAGCTCAGTAGCCAGAAAGGATGACTCTGTAAAAGATGCTGTGTGCTTGTTTATCTTGAGACAAAGAAAAGCATTTGTAATGAATTTTTCTTTTGAGAGTTGTACTATTTACTTTTCCCTGGTTACACTTGCAGGAGTAACCCTTGTCTCAGTATTATGGTGATCACTGTATGATGCTTGCTGTGCTTTATTTCTAAGATGCATCAGACATGTTCTTTTAAACCAACTGCTTTCTACTTGCTCTGTAAGAAAATCTAGCAATTTCTTTAACTAAAACACTTGTTTGGAGTAAAAAAAAATGTTATGAAGGTGGGAACTAAATATAGGCGCTGAACTGTGAAATGGGGTATTGTAGCTGTAATGGTCTGGGTGCATATGCAAGTCAGGGTTTGTAGTGAGAGGCAATTTTATTGAAAAAAACAGATGTAGATGGGGAAAAAAAAGACTTAAGAATTGTTATGGAACAAACTACATCTCCTCTAGACCTGAGGAAAAGACAGAGTGCTTGAAAGATTTTTTAACCGTCTCTCGCTATAAATCTCACACTTCTTCAAAATGGCAGGACTGTAAACCTGCTTCAAGGTGTGTTCCATTCCCCCAGCCACCCATCTCCCAAACCAATAAAATGTGATTCTTTCAGGTGATTCCAACTTTTAATTGGGGCCAAGCTAAGAGTGCACAAGGCATGACTATATATCAGTTACTGATTGCCGCCTGATATAATCTATTGCATTTGCTGAGCCATTATAAGTTGAATGCTGATATGCATGTATGGCATTGTTCTCCTGACTCACTTGTTGATCCTGTGTGTAGTTCAAATATATAACATATGGCATAAAGTTGATATCATTTATGTCTTTATCTAGATGATGTTTCAAGGTTTTTATTATTTTTTTTTTTTTTTTTTTTTTTTTTTTTTTTTTTTTTTTTTTTTTTTTTTTTTTTTTTTTTTTTTTTTTTTTTTTTTTTTTTTT